GGTCCCGCCGGCGTCCCCAGCCCCATCCAGGGTTTGTGTCGGGTCACAGCGGTGTCCCCAGCGCCCGGCCGGGCCCCCCCCACCTCACCTGGGCTCTGCTCCCTGCGCCCCCCACCTTGCAGAGAGGTTACATCGGGGAGCTTGGTGTCTGGCCGAGGTGGGAGACCCCACCGGGGTTGTTTCTGGCCTCAGCGCCGGCGGGAGCTGGTCCAGGTTTTGGACCTGATCCTGCTGCAGGCTCAGCACCCTTTTCGGAGAGAATGCCTTCTTGTCCTTTGGAAACGGAGGCTGTTGCAGCCAGGGAGGTGACCGTACCCCTGATCCTGCGAGGTGCTGAGCATCCCTGTCCCAGGGCAACCCAGGATGAGGCCCCATCCCACCGGAGCGGGATTTCCCCTCCCAGCCTGGAAACACCAGCGGGGCTCCGATGAAAGGGTCCCCGCGGGGAGGGGTGCGGGCTGTCTCGGTGCCCGGTGGCGCTGAAGGGTGCCCAGGCTGGGTCTGCAGGCGGCACGGCCTCACCCCCAGCCCGGGGGCACCGAGCATCCACCAGCAGCGATGGACGGGGTTTCACTGGGGTTTTAGGCACTGCAGATCCTGCCTGGGATGGAGCAAAAGAGGCAGGGAGCCACTGCAGGGAGTTTATTAACAGCAGGGCTCGTTATTTCTCCTTTAATTATCACCATTAACGCGGCACCGTGGGCTTGCAACCACGACGTTGCATCCGTTTGTGGCCCAGCGATCGAAAGGCGATTGCCTCCGTCTGCAGGCGAGCAAACCAGCTGGGAGGGAGCAGGTCCCCAGCACCACCAGGGCCAGCCACCGCTGCGGTGACGAGGGCGAGTGCCCATGTCCTGGCGTGTCCCCACCGGCTCCCCTGTGTCAGGGCAGGGTGCAGCCCCTCTCCCGTCACCCACTTCCAATGCAGCCTCGTGAAATAAAACACTTTCAGGTCTTAACGGGAGCAAATTCTCCAGTGCCGGGGCTGGCGACAGCAGCTTTTCTCTGCAGCAAAGCCGGGAAGTTTGAGGGCTGTGAACACCTCAGGAGGGTTTTGTGGAGCCCGATAATGCAGAAGCAAATTTTCAGCATTTTTTTCCTCTCCCAAATGAAACATTTTTGGAATTTTTAGGGAAAAATTCCCGTGCCCCCCCCCCCCCCCCCATTCGTGGCAATAAACAGGGACGGTGTCTGCAATCCTTTCTCTGTTGGATGTGACCGGGGTTTTACTGAAGCGTGGAGCCTGAGGAGCTGCAGTGACGGAGCCCCGAGTGATTCCTGCCGCCGCAGGCGAGTGGGCTGGGGTACGTCCTGAGGATCAAATAAAACCAAGAGGAGGCTGGAGGAGAGGGGAAGCCCTCGCGGTGAAACTGGGGCCACTCAGGGGCTGTATGGGATGAGAGATGGAAAAGAGCCTTGAGGAGAAGCTGATGGGCTGGAGGAGGAAGAAGAGGAGGAGGAAGGGCTCCCCAGTCCCAACCCCGTGCTGGGCTCTGAGTGGTGCCGGGGACACCAAACAGCAGCTCATGTCCCTCCCGCTTCCAGACCCATGGTTTCAAACCAAATGGTCCCACCTGGGAGCGGGGCTGCAGCCCGTCCAATGCCAGCAAGGGGTGTCCAAATCCAGGGACCCCCACTGTGTCTCCTCCTGGCCCTTTCTCAGGACCAGACCCCTGCCGGGGAGGGGACGTTCTCCTGGGAGGTGGAAAGGGCCAAACCAGGCACCCGGTGTGGGTCCAGCCCCCTTCGCCCAGGGGATGGGGAGAGGACAAGCAGCAACCTGGGCTCCCGGGGATGGCCATGCCACCAATTGCTGGAGGACAAGGGGACGCTGGCTCTGTTTTCTTCCCTTTTTCTGTTTCCAATGGCCCCAGAGCTCCAGGGGGGGTGCGCTGCCTCTCCACA